AGGTCTAACATTAATATTAGATCTAGATGTACTAGCGACTATGAACTGTAATCTAGCACCACTACTTAGTTAGCCTGTGTTTAAGTTTTCTCATTCTATCAAAACCTTTAATATTAAATATAGCCTTTGAGCCTCTAGGCTTGTATTATGTTATGATTACACCCTTCTCCACAGTATGTGTAATTTTCATTCGAGCAATTTCAGACTTGTCTCCTGTAGTGTTCATGTAGTTAAATCTATCGTATTTTTAAATGTGATTTAGGAACTGCCAGTAATTTATATGGTGCTCATAAGCATGATTTACCAGCATATACACTCATTTGTATTGATTTTCTTACTGTTGTGTCACATTAATTAACATGAGTATGGGTGATCTAAATAATGGCAGTTAAAGTGAAACCAGGTCCAGATGTGCCTAACTAGTCCTGAGTTGCAAGTATAATTGTATAATTTAAATATAATTTGTGGTTAGGAACTTAGGAAAGTAGAATGCTTCCTTTCATCTGACAATTAGCATGTTGCAACTAAATAGTGTAGTCAGTATTTATTAATTTATTCTTTTAGCCCATTATGTCGAAAAAAGAAAGTGGAGCACAGGGACGAAAAGACGTGCACAAATTGCAGCTTCGATGGTGGAATCTAGCAAATTGATGATAGCTTTCCTTACTGGAAGTGATGACACCAGTAAGCCAGCATCTGTTCCTTTTGATGGCAGCAAAGAGGTCAAAGTGCAAGATTGTGAACATGCTATTTCATTTGAAAAAGCAAACAATGAAGAAACTGGATTTATGAAGTTTGATACAACAGGCTCAGCACTTGTAACACATGCACATCGCACAGAGATTGTTAAAGCTGGAGCACATAAATTTCAACATAAAGAAGGTACATTTGATACCAAAGATGGGCTTTCTATGACTGCATTTTGGTTCAAACGACGCCTTCTGAATGGACGAAGGTCAATCGTTCCTGGTTGGTGTATTCACCTCTACATTAAGCAGCATACTGCTTTTGTTGGCTTCTTTTTTCATCTACGTGTATGACATCCGATAGTCGGTCTGCTTTCAAAACACAGGGTGGATTATCTAAGTGGAAAAAATTGAAAAATTAAATGCTCATGAAAATAGTGACAGTCATCGTGAGTCATTTGCTGCTTGGAAAGAAACTGAGCGCCGAATTCGTCCTCAATGTGTCATTGATGAAGAGTTGCAAAGGCAAATTCAGCAAGAAGAAATAAATGGAGATATGTACGGCGACGGTTGCTGGATTGTACACAGTATTTAGCTTCTCAGAATCT